CTGGTTAGGCCACTTCTTAGTTTTGTTGCAGTTTCACTGCAACAGTTATTGGCTTTTTATTTATCCTGAAGCAAACTTCTGCCTTAACAGAACCATGATTTTGCTTAGAGAGCAACTGATCCCAGCCCTGTTGTTGTTGCTTAGTTGCTTAGTCTTGCCCAACTCTTTGCAACCACATGGACTGTAGCCACACCAGGCCCTTCTTTCCCAGGACTTAATTCACCTCTCCTTCTATGGAATTTAACACCTAAACTAAAGGACAAAGAGACTGAAAACTACTGCATACCTTCACAGTGGATTGTTCCTACCGAGAAACCTCTGTGATACTTTAGTCTCTTCTCTCCTAAACTGACTTAGTTTCTACCTGTGAATCTCCAATTGCTCTTTGACTTCGTTGTTGTTCAGTTGCTCAGTTGTGTCTGACTCTTTGTGACCCCCATGAACTGAAGCACACCAGGCTTCCCTGTCCTTCACTATCTCTCAGAGTTTGCTCAAACTCATATCCATTGTGTCAGTGATGCCATTCAACCAACTCATCCTCTGTCGTCCCCTTCTCCTCCTGCCTTCAATCTTTCCCAGCATCAATGTCTTTTCTGATGAGTCAGCTCTTCGCATCAGGTGGCCAAAGTATCGGAGGTTCAGCTTCAGCATCAGTCCCTCCAATGAATATTTAGGAATGATCTCCTTTAGGATTGACAGGTTGACCTCCTTGAAGTCCAAGGGACTCTCAAGAGTTTTCTCCAACACCACAGTTCAAAAGCATCAATTCTTCGGTGTTCAGTCTTCTTTATGGTCCAACTATCACATTCACATATAACTACCAGAAAAACCATAGCTTTGACTAGATGGACCTTTGTCAGAATGTCTCTGCTTTTTAATATGCTATCTAGGTTTGTCATAGCTTTTTTTCTAAGGAGAAAATGTCTTATAATTTCATGGCTGCAGTCACCATCTACAGTGATTATGGAGCCCAAAAAAATAAAAGTCTCTGTTTTATTTTTATTTTATTTATACTGTTTCCCCATCTATTTGCCATGGAGTGATGGAACTGGATACCATGATCTTAAGTTTCTGGAATGTTGAGTTTTAAACCAGCCTTTTCACTCTCCTCTTTCACCTTCATCAAGAGGCTCTTAAGTTCCTTTTCTTTCTGCCATAAGGGTGTGTCATCAGCATATCTGAGGTTACTGACATTTCTCTCAGCAATCTTGATTCCAGCTTGTGATTCATCCAGCCCAGCATTTTGCCTAATGTACTCTGCATATAAGTTAAATAAACAGGGTGATAATATACAGCCTTGACATAATTCCTTCCCAATTTTGAACCAGTCTGTTGTTTCATGTCCGGTTCTATCTGTTGCATCCTGACTTTCTGAGATCTCAATATTCTTCCAGGAAATCCCCTTTAGTTTAAGTTAGCCAGGGTCATTCTATATGTTTAATTAAAATAGTAACTAATAAAAGTAGTAATCTAATATTCCTTTAATATTGGAAGGAAACATTAAAGGAAAAATACACAGGAGATGGAAAATGTTATTTCCTTTGAAAAATCTAATAAAATAACTGTTTTCCCTGCCCGAACATTTCTGTCTAATCAAACCCAGTTCATTTAGTTAATGTCTGAGTGCAAACACTGTGCTTAGCCTTAGCTAAACAATGATTTGTAAACAGCCTTTTTCTGAGGTTTCTGAGTCTTCCCTAGACCCACACTGATCCCTAATTAAGAACTAAGAATGCTCATATATTAGGCAACTGCTTACCCAGTGCCTACCATATTTTGTACATAATGTTCAGCACTGGGGATATAATAGAGAATAAGACATACAACGAGATTATATAGTAATCTTAGGAAGCCTTCTCTATTCCTTCTATATATATATATTTCCATTTCTACAGAGAGAATCTAATTTTTCTTTGGAATATTTCTAGACTCAGAGGGGAAGTTACATCTAGTTACACATTCATAATATCTGAATTAGATGAAAAACAATACTGAAGTTTTATGGAGTTCAAGTACTTTACAAGTAAAATATTCTCAGTGTTTTCTCGTATCAGTTAACGAAAGGATGATTTTTGGCCCATTCTTCCCTGTTGGCACAAATAAATAATGCTGCTATGTTGCCACACCTATTTTGGAAGTGGAGAGTCAAAATGGATATTCACCAAAATAAATGATTTTCATAATCTGGAAGCAAAAGAATGAGTTCTGTTCTGAACACTGCCCAGACATTGTTAGTATCAATCAAGTTGAACATCAGGTGGCCAACTATATTTAGGAGTTGGCCTCAATGAATGTACTAGAGAACATTTTTTTGTACTAAGAGTACAATTTTTCTTAGCCATAGATTCAGAATTCTGCTGTTAACAGAAAATGTTAGTGAGTCATCTAATACAATCAGACTAAAAAGACTGTACCCTTACGAGCTTTACAGAAATGAAGATGGAAAATCCATGGCAAGAAATATTTATGTTAAGATTAGATAAGGTAAAAGCAAAATGAAAAAAGATCATCCCCAAAAAGTTATCATCAGACTCATCATTTATTTTGTGTATGAAACAATACTTAGGGTACTCCAATTCTATATGGAAAATATACAGCATTAAACAACAATGACATGGTGAGAAAAATAATTACTGCTCAATTTTCTTCTAATATTTTTTTTTCATATCAAGAAGAAAGTTTCAGTTTGGGTGGTTATACGTCTGTAACATCTCATGAACATTTTCTAGCTTTCTCTTTAATAAAAAGTGGACCTGGATTTGCTGGGTTTTGTGAACCAATACTATGCAGCTCAAATAATGCTTCCACCAGTGATTTTCAAACATTTTGAACTTAAAAATGCTTTATGTCCTTAAAAATTGTTTAGGACCCTGAATAGTTTATAATTATGTGAATTATAAATATCAATTCTTAATATATTAATTAAACCTAAGAAAATTTTAAATACCATTTGCTTTTTAAAATTATAATAAATCCGCTACAGATTAAATAGCTTTTTGTGAAAAATACATTGTCAAAAAGAAAATCAACAAAGGTAAAAAATGGCACAGATTTAGATTCTTTTTCAAACCCTGTTAATGTCTGGCTTAAATGGATAGAACTAGATAGAAAATAAAAAGAGTGAAATAAGAAAAATAGAAAACTGCTAGATTTTCGTATCTGCTTCAGCCTTCAATCATTTGCTATGTGTTGTCTGGTTGAAGGCTATGAAGAAAATCCAGGTACAGTAGATATGAGCTTGGAAAATGGAGGTACATTTTAATAGCTTTTTCGATATTGGTGTTTATGTTTTTTTGATAGAACACCAAAACTCAACAAGAGGTAGTTATGACTCTTAGGAGTGAGCTGCACTGTGGAATCTGAAACTATATCAATGAACTTCTTGTGTCCTATACACTTATAAGAGAATGTATTATTTTGAAAATAGTTTCAATCTTGCAGATACCTGAACAGGTCTCAGAGGACCCTCCCACCCTCCAAGGTTCCCTGGATCACTTGTCTAGAACCACTGGCTTAGGCTGTACTTTTTCAGTTAGTTATTTAAGCCAAGGAATGTTTTAAAGAAATACATGAAATAGTTGAGGGTAGGCAGTTATAGGAAAAAAAAAAAGTGAAATAATTTGGAGAACAAACCAGTGCATTCCTACACACCTACCTCTAATGCATTAAATAGGAGGAATCTATGGAGTGCTTCCTTAGCTCTTCTCCTGGCTGGCTGCTTCTAACAGTGAGTTCTCGGCTCTGCATGCCAGCTCTTCAGAGAGGTGGTCCCCAACTCAGTTAAAGAGCCTTTATTATGCTTTTTCCAAATTGGTCTCATTACACAGTTGGAATGTTATAATAAATACCATGACTGATGCCGTTAAATAACTTTACTTCTATAACAATGGAATGTATCAAGTGGGAGTTATTTACAACAATATAAAATATCACTAATTGAACTATGTGATTCCTTTTCTATTTGATAAGGCATTAAAGGGAGTAGAAAAATAAGTGATAGTTACTCATAACCTGGTACAATATAAGCTCCTGGTTTACTCAACCAAAAGTTTGATCACAGATTTGGACAGATATCATGTTATTAGAGAAAAAAAATTCAAACAAAGCAAATGATGGACTGTACAATCAATCATGATCATTAGATATTGTGGGACACCACTTTATTCTCCTAGGTCAGTTTTATCATATGTAAAGTGAAAAATGTCATTTAAGTGTCCGTATTTGTATCAAATCTGAAATTTAAGTAATTCTCTAATAACATTCTATATTAAGAATAGATTCAAAAACTATTCAGGTGAAACCTTAAACCTCTGAATCACTTAGAATTATTTACAGATGAATTCATTTTGGAAAAGTTTTTTTTTTGTAAAACAGCAAATCTATCCATTTACTAATTCAAATTTTTGTAAAGTTAAAATCATATATAGTTAAGATATTAAACATACTCTCCAGCATTATAACGGGATCATATTTATGACATTTTTTTTCCTTTGCTGCACAGGTATCAGTTTTCCATCTTATCAAGAAATCGGTAACATTTCGCATTGTTTATTTAGTGTCATGCAAAATGAATGCTAGACATTTCTAATGGGGACTCTAACAACGACTGAACCATACGAAGTTGTCAGTTTTCCCGGTTCAAAAGAGATGGAAACTTCATAAGGTACAACCGACGGTGGCAAGTTAAAAGTCAACAGCAAAAAAGTGCTGTTAAAAGAACTTCTCTTCTTTTTCCCTTTTATAAAATAAATCACCCTTAAGATCATTCTGCATTACTATTAACTTAAATATTGCTATAGAGGTTCGGTGCTAATTTATAATTTAACATGAAGGGGAGGTAGCAGGGACTTGGTCTGAACACTCCCAAAGGTACCACAGGCTTTCAAGATCGTCCTTGTCACAATCTCACTCAGCAGGCACCTTGACTTGGGGGTAGGAGGAGGTCAGCAGATAAGCGCTTCTCAGGCCTGCCGGGGAGGCTCGCGGAGGCTTCGCCTCACCTGACCGTCCTGACGACGAAGTACACCAGCACCGCGCCGCTCACCACCATCAGCACGGTCAGGGCCCGCTGGGTCATGGGCTTGTCGCCGGGGTCGGGGCTCACGGCCAGGACGCCGCCCGCCGGGCCCCCGGCTCCCGCCTTCCCGCCGGGGTCTTCAGCGGCCGGCCCCGCCCCGGGCGTGCTGCCATTGCCGCCCTCGGCGCCCCGCGCGCCGGCGGCTTCCAAGGCCGAAGCGCGGCCCGCGGGCCGGGCGGCGGAGGGCTCGGGCAGCGGAGGGGGCCGGGTGCGCGGGCCGTGCGCCGCGGGCCTAGGGTCGGGCGCGGCCCGCGCTGCAGGCGGCCGTCCCGCTGAGGGCCCGCTCAACTCGGGCAGCAGCAGCGACAGCAGGAGCGCCGAGGCCAGGGCGCGGCTGAGGCAGCAGCTGCAGAGCGTCGGCTGCATGGTCCGCGGCCGGCTCCCTCACCGCGCGCGAGCTCCGGGGCCCGCCGCTCTGGCTCCAGGCGGGACCATGGGCGTGTTAACTGAAGAGACGGAGCAGAAACGCTGACTGGACCCGGAACGAAGACCTGGCCCGCCGCAGGTGGCGGAGGCGGCAGCCGCGGCAGCTGCCGGCGACAACCGGAAGTTCGTACATCTCAGCGTCCCCCTTGCTACTAGGGACGCTCGCGGTTTCTAGCCTTCTCGGGCTGGCGCGTTCCGTGACGTCAGGTGCGCGAGGCCGTCTGCGCCCCGCGCACTTCCGGAAGGCGAGAGGGGAGACCCTGCGGTTGGCTCCCTAGAAGGAAAGCAAGCCGGAAGAGAGTTGTGTTGTGTGCAGCAACGCATGCAGCAAGTGTTCAGGAAGAATCCGGGAGAGAGTGGAAGTTCGTAATTTGAGTTTGTTAGTGCAAAACTGAAGAAACACAGCCAATCATTTATTAAAGACCGCCCTGACGTTTCCCTCAGCTCAGGTACATATTTTACTAGACTGGGTTGTTAGGTCACTAGAAAGAAAGTAAACAGTTGTGTCAAGTGTGCGGCAACTCTCTGCAGGAAGAAACCAGGAGAGATTGGAAGCTCATCCTTTGAGTTCGTTGGTGCAAAACTGAAGAAACGCAGCCAATCATTTATTAAAGATCGCCTTGAAGTTTCCCTCAGCTCAGGTACACATTTTATAGACAGGTATTGTTTTCCTGCCTCTAGGTCCTTGACCTCCCTTTCCTTAGAGCACTGCGTTAGAGAACTGGTAACTACCACTAATTGGTACAGGTATTAGTAACTGGTAATTGATTCTCTTCATTTTGGGAATATAAATCTTTTTAAAAGTTCTTTCCCGTATTACAACCCAGGGCTGTCTGTCTTCGGGAACTAGGAGTCATCCTTTTAAAATGTCAGGAAAGGAGACATCACCCATAGCTCCCAGTCTCCTAGGGAGCGTAGAAGCCTAAGTTAGGCAGGCGCTTTGTTTCAAGTTGTAAAACTGCCTCCCGTCACGCAGCTTAGAGAAAAGTTACTTTTTCTTTGTGAAGGCTTCCCTAGTAGCTCAGATGGTAAAGCATCCGCCTGCAGTGCAGGAGACCCGGATTCGACCCCTGCATAGGGAAAATCCCTTGAAGAAGGAAATGGCAACCCACTCAAGTATACTTGCCAGGAAAATCCCATGGACAGAGAAGCCTGGCGGACTACAGTACATGGGGTCACAAAGAGTCTGAATTTCCTTTGGGTAAACAACCGGCCTAAGACTTTTCCTATTCTTAAAATATCTTAAGCTTTCTGTTGAGTTCAGACAGAGTCCTGGCCCCTCTTTTCTGTTGTGATCGTCTTGAATAAGTCTCTGCCTGTTTAACTTTGACATCAGTAATGTGGAACTTTGGGGTGAGCAGATATAAACAAAAACAACAGACCAGAAATTGAAGTTAGTGTCTGTTCTTTTAAAAACTTACTCATTCAACAAATTTTTTAGACTTTCTACTCCTTCAGAACTGTATTTAAGTATTGAACAGTAGACGAGATATCATCCTTGTTCTCACAGCCCTTAGGGTCAAATGGAAATCACACAATAGTCTCATTCATTCTTATTTTGAAGTGCATGTTATAAATGACAAGCAAAGAGTCTATAGTAAAAATTGTGTAAAGAACTATTGTAGGTAAGGTGGTCAGTATAGTGTCTTCTAGCTGCTTGTGGCTAATAGACTCATGCGGTTGCTCCTGTCATGTAGAGTTGCAGGGACTAGGCATCTTAATGCTGGGTTCCACTGTGAGGAAGACCATTGGTGACACGCACTAATTTTAGTTTCCAACCTGGACATTTATCAATAATGAAGTGGCTCCTTGGTTTTCTTCTCTCCCTTATCCACAATCTTATTCAGAGCCGTACATGGAAGATTAGTATTTAATGCTACTCCTTCCCACTCCTCAAAAAAATCCAATATTCAACACACCAAAAAACAAAACAAAAGCACCATCTTTCCTTCCTTACAGTGTCTTGTTTTTCCATTGTGTTCCTCATCTTGATTAATGGTATTATTCTTTACTCAGGTGTTCGGATGTAAAGTCTTGGAGTCATCATTTATCCTTATCTTTCCACCTGCAACAGTGCTTACTGGTTATGGCAATATACTAAATAATTCTGAAATAGCAGAGTTAAACTGATGATTCCAAATGATTAGAGCATTCTAATCATTCTAGTGTTTCTGCAGCTAGGTACTTGAATCAGAATCAGAAATGGAATTTGTTAAAAATGTTGGTTCTAGGTCACTATTCCAAAATTCTTAACCAGGATTTTGGGGATTGGGAACATGGATTCTGTATGCATTTTTACTAAGCTCTCAGGGTAATTTTTATTTGCACTAACATTTAAGAATCTCTTCATTCCCTCACCACCTATATCCAAATGTTATCAACTTTTCCCCATTTCCCTAATGTCTGCATCATTAATCAACTCTTTTCTGTTCCCTGCTTCTGACAAAGAATTATTTTTAAATTAGTTGAGATCTTAAGCAGGCAGAGGAGCTGCAAATTATTGTGATTTTTGCATAATACCATATTATTTGTAAACTGTCATGAAACAGTATTTTCAATTCCATTACAGGAACTAGGAACCAGTTTCCTGGGAGAAAATATTGTATTTTGCTTGTATAATATAAAATGACAATTGGGGGCACACATGCCTATTTAAAAGACAGAATGCCCAACTAATTGGTGTTTCTGAATTTCTTCTAATACTAATAATGCTACTTGTTCATTTACATGTTTTTGTCTTGCAAACAAGTTGTATCAATCAGGAGAGATTTAAAAACATAAAAGAGAAGAAAAGTTATACTTACTGAAATTAACCTGCATGCTAGGAAAAGACCCCCATTATTCGGATTTATCAGGGAACACCCTGATAAATCTGACAGAACAGCAGTCTTCCATGGAAATGTGTAAAATACCACTGGCTTATTAAGTAAAATCTAATCCTCCTTGGTCCCGTATTGAATAATAATATTGCATACTAATTAAGTATCTGTTGTGTACCAGATCTCATGTTATGAAATGCTAAGCAATTCTCTTTGTTTATTCCTTACCAGAAAAAAAAAACCCACTAAGCCATTATTATTCCTAATTTACAATTAAGAAACCACAATAAAGGATAATCAAATTGGTGAAAATCAGCGTGAGTAAAAGCAATAGAGCTGGGCACTAAACTCAGGCACTGTAGCCGCAGAGGTCAATATTGCCTACTACATTTTGTCTTCTAATTGTAGGCTTCCATGATTTGAGTCTAGCTTTTTGTCTCAATCAGCTATTGTTAGAATAATGCTGCATAACTACTATCCAAAAATATCTCAGTGGCATACAGCAAATAGGCATTTTTTTCCCACATGTTTTTGGTCAAGGTGAGAGTTACAAATTTAAGTTGGCCTTATGGATAAGTAGAAAGGGTGTAGGGAATAGGCATAAAGAGAAATGAGCAGGCATGTATGTGTTTTTTTTTTTTAAAAACAGAGACTGGTTACCCAAACTCCCACCTGATGGCCTTGACACATATCTCATTGGAGAGAGACATGTCACATGGATGCTTCTAGCTTCTGGTAATCTGAGAATTTTTGGTATTAAAATGGGCATATTCTACTCCCTATAGAAATTTATGTAAGGAAAAAGAAGACAATTCATATTGATAGGGATTTCACTTATATTAATATGTGTGTGTGAAAGTTGCTCAGTCGTGTCTGACTCGTTGCAACCCCATGGACTGCAGTCTGCCAGATTTCTCTGTCCATGGAATTCTCCAGGCAAGAATACTGGAATGGGTTGCTGTTCCCTTCTCCAGGGGATCTTCCCAACCCAGGGACTGAACCCAGGTCTCCCACATTGCAGGCAGATTCTTTACTGTCTGAGTCATTTATATTGATAGGCATGTCAATTTTAGCTCAGTGTAGTAGAGAACAAGGCTCAAATAAGTGTTCTCTGGTGTCAAAATTTCCTTGCTTGTCCATTAAGGAAGAGGGAATGTAGCAGGTTGTCTCAACTGTAATGGTCATTCATAGTGACATCTGATAGAAGGAGTCTCTTATACTTTTAAATGGCAGGATACTGCCACATCAGGTGGATTGTATATACCCTGAGGTCCAAAAGGAAAAAGTTCAATAGTCAGGAAAAGGGAATATGAACTGATCACAAAACCAGGAAGTGAAGAGAATGTACTAAAAATCCTGAAGGTGAAGGAAGAGTTGGAATTTCAGAGGACAACTAAAGAACAACATTTCAAGAATAAGAAGGAACAGTGTTGTTGGACTAGGCACTGCATAACTGAGTAGGAATCTGAATAAATGTTAAGGTTAAAAATCTAAAACACACAAACAAACAAACACCAACCATATAAATCAGCTGTGGTTCCTGAGCGGAAAGAAACAAGGTGAGTATCTCTGGAGCTCTGCCTGTGGAAAATTTCCCAGCTATAGTGCATGAACCTGGAGTTCAGTCAGAATACAGGAGTCTCTCTTATCTGAAGAGGCGGAGATCAGAGTTCTGGGCTTTTAATGGTTGGGGTCTGTGGGCCAAGGCGTTAAGAAAAAGTCTGGAGGTCATGAAGTTCATATGGAGGTTCCCCACACATCCTTGGCTGAGAGCTGGACAGAACTGCCGGACATGGCCACACAAAGTTAATAAGAAACTTGCTGTTACAGAGGTGAGAGCAGAACAGAGACATTAGATATTCAGTGGTGCTGGGGACTTTGGAATTAGGGCCCAGACATACTGAACAGATCTCTTTAATACCTCCTAACAAAGTGGAAATCAAATGGAATCACTGCTTTATGATAAAGTCCACACGCAGAGAAAGGCCCTCTTTATACCCACTTTAACAAAGCTTGGAAACCAAGCCCTAACAAGATTCTTAGAGGAGAAAGAGTTTGAGATTGGATCTCACCCGTTTACTAAGGAGCTTCCCAGTAGCGCTAGTGGTAAATAATCTGTCTGTTAATGCAGCAGACAAAGAGACGCAGGTTTGATTCCTGGGTTGGGAAGATCCTCTAGAGTAGGAAATGGTAATCCATTCCAGTATTCTTGCCTGGAAAATTCCATGAACAGAGGAGCCTGGCAGGCTGAAGTCCATGGAGTCACAGAGTCGAACATGACTGAGCACACAGCACACAGTTTACAGGGACTTGCAAATAGATAAACAGAAATTATACAGTCTCAAAAAAGGATATATAGAAAGATTCAAGAAAAGAACAAAACACTTTGAACTTACATGACAGTATTATACTGTCATGTTTAATATATATGCACTGGAGCTCGAAAAGAAAAAGC